CTTCAAGTGGACCAAAGACACTAGCACTGGGTTTGGTACATCAGAAAAGTTCAAGTCGGCCCAGAATGATGCCCAATTCATGCAGAAGGTCGAATCGCTCCTAGCAAATGACATCACCTGCCCCGAAGACATTCGAAATACAATGACTCTGTGATTACAACCTACATTAACCTAGCCAGCCAGGTCACTACCCAAAAAAGTGGCCGTCTTCACACTAACAAAAACAAATGGTTCGATTGGGACTGCAGAAAGGCAAAACGTCAAGTTTGCAAGATCGAAAGAGTAAAGAACAACCCGTACATTGATCCCATGCTAGTGGAACCTACTCGGGCTAAGTTTTACCTCCGAAAAAAGGAATACAGGGCTCAAGTTCGATCCAAAAAAGGCGCATATCTCTTTCAACTGAACGAGAAAATAAACAATGGCAATGACATCAACTGGTCTGCTCTGAAAGATCTCTCGTCCTCCTGTAGAGATCCTGAGACGTTCGATCTGTACGACCTATTTGCTTTTCACAAATTCTTCAACGACCTCTACAACCAAAAGTGCAAGGATCCATCCCACCGTGAACTTCAAGCCCACAACGCAAGCAATGATGGGAGCAGCCACCCTGACCTACCAACTGAAGTGGAAAATCTTAACAGGAGTTCACTCTACAAGAGCTTGAAAAGGTGATCAACAAACTCAAAAACAACAGAGCGTATCACTGGACCTAATATCGAACGAGATGCTCAAGAACTCCAAACTTTGCTAAGGAAAGTTCTTCTCAAGTTGTTCAACGGCTGCCTGGAACAGGGGACTTACCCATGGAATTGTTCGATAACCACCCCTCTCCACAAGAAGGCGACAAACAGAACCCTGACAACTATAGGGCAATAACTGTTGGAAGCTGTCTAGGGAAGCTATTGCTTCTCTTCCTCCTTGAAAGACTTATCGACTTCCGCAAAGTTATCTGCCCCGATTTCCCCCACCAACTTGGCTTCAGAGCGGGTGCACAGTGCTCGGATCACATCCTTACAATTACCACAATCATTGAAGAAATACACGAAAAAGCTCAAAAAGAGAGTGTTTGCTTGTTTTTGTTGACTACCGGAAAGCGTTCGATACGGTGTGCAGAGAAGCACTCATGTATAAACCTCAAATCACCTTGGTATCGGAGGGAACTTCTTCGCTTGCCTTAAGAACATGTACAGCAACTCGGTGACCCGCATCAAACTGATCCAAAAACTATCGGAGACCATTGATGTCACCATTGGAAACAGAGAGGGGCATCCAATGTCTCCTGAATTGTTTAAAAATATACATTACGACCTCTCCATCTATCTAGCAGCCCTAGAAGATCTCTCTGTCCCTGAACTTAAATGGCTTCCCAGTCAACCACCTGCTCTGGGCCGACGATCTCATCCTTTTAGCTCTCGACCACCAAAGCTTCAGAAAGAGCTTGACTGCCTAAATGAATTTGCAAGCAAATGGGAGCTATCTATCAACATTGATAAGGACTAAAATAATGGTCTTCAACTCAAGCTCGGGGTGCTAAACTGCTCGTACGGGTTCAAGCTTGGACAGCTCGACATCTCTCCAACAAGGTCCTACTGCTATCTAGGTATCCAGCTCAGCCTCAATGGATCTTTTTAAATGCGCCATGAACGAACTGAGGAAGAAGGCGCTTCGAGCATTCTTTTCGATAAAACGCATGGTAGACACCAGAGCTCTGACCACCAAAACCATGCTAAAGCTAATTGACTGTCTGGTGAAACCGGTAGCAACTTACGCCTGTCAGATATGGCTACCCTCGACTCACCCTCATGAAAGAAATGGCGCGTGAACCCAGCCAAAGACACAACCTATCAAAAGTTGCAGCAAAAGACAGTCTTGAGACAACACACCTCAAAATGCTGAAATGGGTACTGGGTGTGCACAAGAAAACTAAAAACAACTTCTGTTACGGGGATACAGGAAGGATGCCCTGGGCCCTCTCAGTTTCTGCCACAATGCCTCAGATACTTTGGAAGACTTTCCAGAGCTTCTTCTGAGATGAACAGTGTCAATTTTTTAGTATCTCAAGCGTTTCAGGAACAGAAAAATCTTAACCTCTCCTGGTACGAGAAACTTAGCTCTGTGGCTCATTATGAAACAGAAGCAGCTCATGGCACCATGAGGGATGTCTTTATCAGTGACTGGAGGGTGGACCTGGGATCGCAAACCAAGATGCAGTTCTACAACCAAATCAAGGAGGAATTTGGAGAAGAGCAGTACCTCAATCTGAAGAGCAGGCAATTCCGAACGAATACAGCTAAAATCCGCTCCAGCAGCCACGACCTGATGATAGAAAGAGGGCGTTACACGAAGGAGGCGGAGTTGGCCAAGAGCATGCAGATTCTGCTGCGATAGGGATCACGTTCTCGGCTTCGAATACCTTCCTTTTTTGAAGGCACGATTATTGAAGACGAGGGAACACTGCCTTACTGAGTGCCCCATGTACCACTCAGTATGATCTTCTCTCTCAGATGACCTCAAAGGGCTTTTACTTCTCAGGAACTACAAAGACATGATGAAATCAGCCCACATAGAAGAACTGGGCAGTTTTCTCAGCAGCTGTCATCGATCAGAAATCCGAAAAAGACACCAACATCGTCTTCCACTTGATCTAACACATCCGGTAATGATTCCGAGTCACTGTCTTAAGGACATTCTAACTACCCCAGTGTCCCTTAAATGAGTGTTCGAACTGTTTTCATTCGGAGTTACAGTTGCATAATTTACGCCCGTCTTTGAGTTTGTGTGTAATCTTTCTTGATAGTGTATTTTTGACTTTTGGAGTAACTTTGTGAATTTTTATGAACCCTCTCTGCATAATTTATTAACCTTATCGGTGCATTACCCACTTTAATCCGGTTAAATTATTATATTTGATCTTGTTTCCTTTTCGTACAGATTGTAGTGCAAGTAATTTTTTATACGTGGTCTATGGGTCCATCTACTTTATGATTTTTTTTTATAATTATGTTATTTATTTCATTGATGTATTGTCACGACGGGTTCGTTAGTGTTCCCTCTGACTATTTAAGTTTAATTCCAGTTTAATTCCAGTTTAATTCCAGTTTAATTCCTGTAGGGGGGGGGGGGGGGGGGGGGTTTGAAACATGTAATAGTAAAAGTAATACGATACGTGATACAAAAGTGTTTATTACTTTATTAGCAAGAGCTTTCCTCAAAAAAACATGCGTTTATTGTCTTCCGCAACGATACAAATGTTTTAAGTTTTTTCTTATTTGACTCTATAAACTGTCAATTGTTCAGAAGGAGTGCTATTTATTTCTCACCCACAGGTACCTATCATCTCTCTCAATCTCATGGTTCAATCATTCTAGGAAACTTCCGCCCTTGAGTCTTCTGTCCTCGTGACCTCCACCCTCACGACTAGCCTTCCGCCCTCGCGTCCTATATATCCCCTTTAAAAATACATCAATTCAAGTTGGTTTCAACTGTCGGGAGCCTTTTAAGAAAAATTATCTCGAAGATCGAGTGTAGTAGGGGGTGCACGATAAAAATAAACTTGCTCGGATTTTAAAAATTTTTGCACCACTGTTTTCTAGAGACTGTGAGAATTTTCACAATACCAAATTTGTCATACCTTTTTGGAAAGATTAGTGAGTTTCGCCTAGGTGCCATATTTGATGGTGCGCGGCTTTTGGAGCAAAAGTAGCTGTAAACGTCGCGTAATTTGACCAAATTCGTCCAAATTTGACCATTTTTGTCGTATTATTCGGATTTATCTTCAGTTCCTTAAATGAAATCATTCTGGAAATTGGCGACGACCTTCCAATACTAATAGGGCTTTCACAACTGTCCGAAAAATTTGGTGGATATCGGAGTTGATATAGTGATCAAAATGGGGCAAAATACGCTGCTTTTAGCTGTAACATAATGTCTGATGGTTGGATATGCTTTAAATTTTTCGGACACTTTCCTTGTAAGTCTGAGTAAGCTTACCAATTTTTGTTGCAATTGGAGGTCGGGAAGGATACTCAATATCTATTTGTTTGAAGAAAGTTGTGCTGGCCGAAATTAGCGCTAAAAAACCATCCTACAGTCGGCACGCGCGGCTCACTGTCGATGGCGCACTGCCTAAGTGTAGCAGTAGAGTTATTTGGCACACTTGTTGTTTAGCAGCTTTATTTTTAGTTCAAAGTAAATTTTAATTCATTGTTAAAGAAATAACAGACATTTTAAAAAATATGTTGAGGTTTTTACGAAATTTGCAAAATCTACGCGCCAGCATTAGCAACGTTTTTTTCGAAATTCGGTAAAAAATTCCCCACATTGGAAATTAGAAGCTGTCACATTAAATTTAATGCGGAACCGCGAATTAGCAAAAAATGAGAATTATGCTATGGTCTAATGGTCTGACAAATAAACATTCTAGTCATTAGGTTAACACCAGGCCACAAGTGACAGGTGGTGCCGCTAACTAGGTGCCTGGTGCCGCTAACTAGGTGCCGCTAACCGGCTAACTAGGTGCCGCTAACTAGGTGCCGCTAACTAGGTGCCGCTAACTAGGTGCCGCTAACACAAGTGACAGGTGGTGCCGCTAACTAAATATGTACAAAAAGATCATACAGAAAATCTGAAAATTCATAAACATAAACAAACTTTATTGCGTCCCGTCAACTTGAAAATAGATAAAGGGAAATAAACTGCTGCATATTTTCGGATGGCAGTGTTTTTTAGCGCCACTTTCTAAGCTTAAAATGGTTTTTGATTTTGAAATACGAATGGTTCCGTTGTTAAAAGTCTCTCGATCTCATATAAAAACCTTGTTATTCAAAATGTAACTTCCATTTTGAGAATTATTTATCAAATAGGGGTCGTTCACATATTAAGTAATTAGCCGAGGGGGGGGGGGGGGGGGTTTCCGAATGATTAACGCTAGTGTAATTTTGACACAATAGCTATGTGTAAAACTGATTACGGAGGAGGGGGGGGGGGGGGTAAAAATGTTCCAACAAATGATTACGTAATATGTGAACGACCCCATAATAGAAATACTTTCGGTCAACGCGAACGAAATGTATTAATCCAACTTAAAGCTTCATATGCAATCCTCAGGGGCCTGGGACAATTGTCCATGATAATTGCACCTCATACGTCATGTAACATGTAAATTCCTTTGCAATTTGTCCAAATTAGTACCAAGTACACTTGCTCCTAATTCGTTAGTCGAGAACTGACCAAAAGAGGAAACGAACAAATTTGGTCGAATAAATGGAATAAACAAATCTTATATTCTGAACTGTAAACATGAACTTAAAATTGTGATAATCAAATCTCCATCTTTACTCCATGCATTTTATAACTATCATTATTATAATTTCGTCCTCAATGAGAATACATTCGCAGATCCATGAGTTTGCAAAATTCCTCTGTCCATACGCTCTGAACGAAACGCTTGCTTCGGGGGTTTTTTAGGTTAGCGGCAGTTTTTCTCGCAATCTGATCTCCCTCACGCGTGACAATTAACGCGTTATCACTCGCTGACACTGGTATTTTCTTAGCACCCGCTGATTTACTACCGACTCGTGACACTGAATTATCACGTGCAGAGCTACCGCGCGCGTCACGTGACGTAGATTTATCACGTGTAGGATGATGCGAATCACGTGACTGAGATTTTCTGATTTTGTCGCGTGATCTGCTGGGAGGTTTATTCTTGTTGGGTAAGGATGTGATGGTGGTGGAGGAGACGCTTGCCATGTAGGGTGAATTTGTTTCACTACTCCACCTCTTCATCATACGACCTGGGACAGGTTGTATTACTAATCGATCAATTATCAATTAATTAATTACCAATTTTGCCATTATTAACCGTTGATTATTTGTAAGATCTGTCGCAATTGAATTCATTTTATTGAGGATCGAACCTTTTGTTTTGGCTGTTGAGTCATCAGTCGTTACAGACATCTTTCTAGAATCGTTACGTTTGTTCAGGCGGTTTAGTGCCTCATTTATAACAGTTCTTGAAACACCTAGTGGTAAGGATAAATAAATAAAATAACGTTATTAAATAAGAAAAAATAAATACAAATTCAAATCTGGTCGACTGAGGATGAAGAAGTGAGGAAGATTATCAAGTTAAGGTAAATTCTGTTTGTCTGGGTGAAAGTGAAACTAAACGAACCCGCAGTTTTAGGTCGGTTCTGTTTGCCAGAATCTCCTGCACCGCTGCTGATATAGCTACTGTAACCACTGCTTACTGTTCCTATACTTTGTTTACTGCTTATCGTTCCTGTAAAGTAACATGTTATTTTATCTTACTTTTATTTCATTTTTATTTCACTTTTATTCACTTTTATTTCATTTTTATTTCACTTTTATTTCACTTTTATTTCACTTTTATTTCACTTTTCTTTCACTTTTAAAAGTTGTACTCCCTCCCTTAACTCCCACGCACGTACCCGTACTCTGTTTACTGCTGCTTTTAGCCAGGGTCGGTGTATCACGTGATTTGTCACCTTTCCCAGTTGGGTCACGTGGTGTTTTGGGGTTGTTAGATTGACGGTCTTTGGAGGACTTTTGTGTCGAAGAAGAAGATGGTTTTGTTTGTTCCTTTGGGCTGACGTAAGGGATGTGTTAGATTATAAATATTCATTAACCTTTAATGTTTCTGTATTAGATAGAAAGATTCGCTTAATATAATAGGTTTTATGAGCTCTGCAGATTTGCTTTTCTTTCATGTCAAGCATGCAGTCAACTGCAATACATACAAACAATAATGATTATTATTTTGTGATTATCCTTTACTTACGGTTTTAGAGCGGACGTTGATATTTTTTCCTCGCTCGTCTCAGCTTGGTTCGTAACGCCAAGTGACTTCCTAGCCTCCTTCCTTTTAATAAGAGAGTTGATATCCTCATGTTTAACCTCTCCGAGAAAGAGAGCAGAAGAGGGGTGAGCGGTGGTGTAGGAGGTCAGGACCGTCTCTAGATCAGGCTCTTCTACCACGGAGAGGAACTCTTGTAGATCTCCTTCGTTTACTGGTTGAAAGGGGTGTCAAAACGTAAATATTTAAATTTAAAGTAACAGTTTAACTACCAATTAAAACTGATGCGAATTTTATGAACTAAAAAATCAAAAAATGATGTCGTTCACACTTCAAGTTTATTCATTGGCGCACCTGGGTCGGTGTCATCTTTAGACTGCAGAAGTAATTTCCTCATCAGAGCTTTCTGGGCTAGCTGCTGGGTTTCCTTGCCGTATATGTGGATGAAGTCTCCTAACTCCTTGGCCAGGATTCGTCTCTGATATAAAGTATGAAATAGCACTTGATGAACGAATACTGGATTAATATTATGATAATCATCAAATATTTATAAGGGTCAGATGATGATTTTATCTGTCAACTATCTATCTAATAATATTATTCACAATACAAATTCTGCTAAAAAATCACCTGGTCAGAAATGGGAAGTTTTCTGCTCGGAACGATAACTCTAAACACTTGTAGGTGAAGGTTAGCACTAGCTCGTTTCAGGAACTTGACAACCGTATCCTGTAAGTAGTAAGTGTAGATAGGTTGTGCGAAATTTAAAAAAAGTTTTATTGATATAATAGTACTTTTTTAAATTTTTTAAAAGTATTTTAATTTAAAAAGTATGTTTAATCAATAGATGCGGTGTGGGGGAATTAAAGGAGGGCACCATAAAAAAAATATCTTTCAACCCTTTAAAAATTCACTGTTTCCCTCCCATCAGGAAATAAAAGGGTTGGGAGGAAAGAAAATAAGGAGTTAAAAAATATGGATTATGGAGTAAAGATATGGATTAAAACATACCATTTGCCCTTCATACGCGTGATCGTCATTTTGTTCGCCCCAATCCCCGTTTAGAAATTTCCTTTTCGGGTTGGGGAAAAGGGATGTTGCAAATAAATCCCTCGCTTTTACTTTCCGCGTTAAAAGTGCAATTATAAAAATTTAAAATTTGGGATGTTTTGAAAAGTTTTTAAAAACTGCAGTAGGGCCCGTAAAAGAAATTAAATTAAATTTTAAATTTTTATTAAAATATTAAAAATATTATTTTAAAAATATTTTAAAAATATTTATAAATATTAAAAAATTTCGGGCAACAGGGGAAAACCTTCTCCACTTCGGTGGGGGATCGAATGGAGGAAGGGGGGAAAACCCTTTTTGGGGGGGGGTGCGGGTCGGGTGCAGCTAGCTCCTGTTTGGAGAAAGTCATTATGTTAGTTATAATATTATATCAATTTTTAAAATAATTAATGGGAAACCCAAATAGGGGTTTTGTTTCCCCTTTTGGTGTCCCAAATACAATGTATATATAGCAATTATATGTTCATCATATGATTACATATTCAGCGTCCCACAGGTACGTTTCGCCACTGTTCACTACTCACTGTATATGTAAATATGTATGTTGGGTATTCCAATATGAAACGTAAAATAAACAAACCTCTGACAAATTTGTTTTCTCCTCTGGTTTATTTCCAAGACTGACTGTGCTTCGACCGCCTGAATACAGCAAATTGTTAATCAATAACAAGTTACAAGAGTACACGACATTTTTAGATCCATAATTAATTATATCTAAACTCAAACTTAATTTTAACTCAATCTTCACCCAATTTTAAGTTTTAACTAAATAACAACTTTGTAAAACTTAACAAACCTTTAGCAGATTTAGCTCGCGGGGCTTTCGTCCTGTTCTGTTTTTTAACATCTGAGTTCAACTGGTTAACTTCCCAATACAACCACAAATTTAAATGTCACACTTTATGTTTATTATAGAGCTCACGTTTTTATTTAAGAGTGGATTTTTTTGCCGGCACCTGAGCACCTCATTTGAAATTTTAAGTTGATCATTAAACTAATGGATTTATACCAGTTGCTCAGTTGTAGTGGGAGGTTCATTATTTATTGACTATTTTTTCACTAAACTGATGAAAATAAGAAACTAATTTTCAAACATAAAGATCTATAAATCTGACGAACAATCAACATTCAACATCTTTGCAATGGAAAACTCAAGAAACCCCAATCTTGTTAATGTTATCAAGCCCCAAGGCTTAATTACACATCTTTAATTATAAAACAATTTCAAATCTTATATCAGATCCAGTCATAATAGTTTTTAATCCGAAAAAAGCGATCACAGACGGATACTAATTGATTAAGCGAGCGATAAGAAATGTCCACGTGATGAGAATCTGATACACTTTATATCATCTAAAATCAACGGCGGGGGGGGGGGGGGGGGGGGGGGCTTATTCGTATTCACACGTGACAGCGATTAACCAATCAGCTTTTAGTATTGGTAAATCAAAACCCACAAATGTGGCTCACCTCCTTACCACACAGTATTAAAATCTTTAATGTTATACTTATACATGCTTAAGTATTCTGTTCAAAATCACGACATAATTCTTAACTAATGCCGTAAAGTCTATCAATTGAACTTAAGGGTCCTCAACTCCTAAGAAATTGAAAAATTGAAAGCTCTGATTGTTTACTGATTGATCACTGATCAGCGGTAGAAAAACGGAATAATTAAGTAAAGTTAAGATAATTCCGAAAAGCTGATCTTAAAGATTCGCCTAAAACATTTTTAGAATTTTTATTTTATTAAAACCTATAAAATTAAATGTTGCCACAATGGGCAATCTGAGTATACTTCATTTTGCATTAAAAGATTTAACTTTAAGATAAAGTCTCTGATATTTTTGTGAAACTTGGTTTCGAGATAGCAGTTGACCAACAAACTAGGACCGGTGACCAAACTTTTGAGGGGGTCCCGGACCCCAGCCGCCAAACGGTGCGGGGCAGCCACGCCCATATTTGCTCCAAATTAGGCCCAATTTAGCTAAATACCCTGAACATATCCAAAACCCAGATTTTAGGTGCTCTACTTGCAGTAGCTGGTGGTACCCTGAACAGCTGAACTCGTATATGAATTTTCATCAAGATTGGGAAAAAAAATGACTGAGTTATGAACCAAAAACCATATACCCATATTTGGGCATACGCACCAAATTTGATCGATTTTGGCCCATAAATTGGTCAAATATCAATATTTTTGAATGAAACCAACTTTATATGGAAGGTAAGCTTATACTACACATTTTCTATGATTATCAGCTCAGTGCCTACCTAACTGTGGATTCTGTGTTCAAATAATCGCAAAAAATTAACAAAATCGCCCATATCTTAGTTCGTGATATTTGCGAAACTGATTTCGCTCAAAACAATGTTCAGGTTATTTGGCTATATTGGGCCTAATTTGGACCAAATATGGGCGTGGCTGCCCCGCAGGCACCGTTTGGCGGTTGGGGTCCGGGACCCCCTCAAAAGTTCGGTCACCGGTCCTAGTTTGTTGGTCAATTATCTCGAAACCAAGTTTCACAAAAAATCAGGGTGAACTCCCCTTAATCTCAGAATACTATAATTAATTAATTAATTGATTAACAATACTCCAATAAGTAACACTTCTACACCAACTCCGTACCTATATGCTTAACAAAACTTAGATTTTATATGTACACATAATTTATAAACATAAACATATTTATAAACTTTCTAAACGACATTACCAACCAACATTCTATTCCTATTTAAAGCTAGATCACTGTTAAAGTAGTTCACAACCCTTCTCTCCTTATAAAGATTCGGTAACGAATCTTTGGTTTTCGAGTTTGATGCCAAACGCTGAACTGATATCTTGGAACTGTATTCTTCCATCCTTCGTCGGAGCGCAGCATGACGTGGTCCCAGGGACTTCTTGCGGCTGTCTTGCGGCTGTCTTGGGACTGTCGCGCGACTGCGTTGCGGGGGTCGGTAGCGAGCGTAGGACGAACCGTAAGGACTTGCCTCGGCAACATTCCTGGAGCGAGCCGAGGGTCGGTTGTTACTCCGTACCGTCTCAGTCTGAACCACTATGTAGCCGTTACCATACGGGGATGGTTTAGAGGATTTGGTTTCGGATGCGGCACTGGCTTTCCGGGTTGCTGCACATTTCTTAGAGGAAGCCACAGAGTTGCGGCTGCGAGAGGATTTTGGCTTGTACTTACCGGATTTAACAGAGCCTGCTTTGTCGTTATCCCGAGAGTTGGGTCTCTCAACAGAAACATGTTTTCTCTTCATGTTTAATAGGTTGACAGGAGAGCCGTACCCAGAGTCAACCACCTCTAACTTAGAATGGGAGTTCTCCTTTTGAGATTTGTAGTTATCAGAGGTTATGATATCAGGGGAGATAGTTTTCCGGGGCACTGGAGGAGATTTGGGCTCATTTATTTGCTCTACTTGCATGGGTTGAACGTCATCTTGGGAAGAAAAAAGTGAAGTTTTAGAACTACTCCGAGTTGTTTGACTATCCGAAGATGATTGGGAGGTTACCGAGATATCACTATCCGCTAGGGATATCTCAACTTTACCGATCTTGGTTTTATTAAATAGAGCCTCGGATGTACGGGGAACTGTAACAAGGATTGTCATTCTGTCGTTGTTCATAGTGCGCGAGACCGTGACGTCGCGTGGGGAGACCGTGATGTTGTCACGTGTGAACACAGACACATTGACACCAGTTTCCTCGGTTGTGGAGGTGTTTTGATTGTCCGGTTCTCGGATTGGCTCAAGGTCTGGTTGGATGGCTTCTGGGATGGCTTCAGCGACTTGTTTTGTTACGCAGTCGTTACAATATAGCCCTGGGGCGTCGTAAGGATCTACTTTCTTAGATTCTACTTTCTGAGGTTCCTCTTTCTGAGATTCCTCTTTCTGTCTCTGAGGTTCCTCTTTCTGAGATTCCACTTTCTGTCTATCTTCTCGATCATTTGCGACTACTTTGGTTTCCTCTGTTCCTGTTTTCTGTTTCACTCCCTGCATGTTTGCCTTCTGTTTAGTTTCCAGAGAAGCACTCTTCCTAGAATCAGTGGATCTGCGGCTGCTGGCAGACGATGGTCGAGCCTTCTTCTTTCTTGCTTGCTTCAGCTCTGTCCCTCCAGATTGAGCAAGTTTTTGCACCGAGTTTTGAGAAACAGTTTTCTTGATCTTTGTAGGTTGCTGTTTTTGTGGCTTTTCGTTGACGTCGTCCACTTTTAAAGCTTTAGAGCTCCTGTTTAGGGTGGAGGAACTACCTTGGGGATTCTTTGAGAGGCTGCTCTTGCTGGCTACCTTTGTCAAAGAAACTTCACTAGTCGTTCTTCCTTCCTGTTTCTTACCACCCTTTTTTGGTTTTCCAGTTCCTTTGGTGGTAAACTTTTTGCTTTCTGCTCCTTTTTGTGTTCCGGCGTTTTTCGCTTTGTTTCCTTTACCTTTTACCTTTTTTATAGGCACATCATCAAAACTAGAATGTAATGAAGTCTGACAACTGGCAGGGCGAGTACCCCTCTTTTTCTGCTCTTCCAGAAACTTCGCATAAGTCAGAACTGTTCCTGGAGCAATCTTCTTATACCCGAAATCTAGCTGCCCCTGCTTAATGATCTCCACTCCGATTGCCTTCTCCGTTTTAGGAACCCTTCTCTCGGTGGGAATCTGTACAGCTGGTCGCTGAGGGATTGCTGGTCGGGTTGGTTCCCTGGAGATATAAGCGGTTGATAACTTCTGCCGAGAAGTGAGGCTAGGGCTCTTAGTAAGAGACTGCCTGGAGTCATATCGCTGATGACGCGGGTCGACATTCTTTGTTCGGTCACTTTGGTACCTTGGTTTAGAAGAGGTCACGGTGTTTCCACTGGTGATAGTTTTATTGCTCGACAACATATCTGGTTGTGATCTATCCAGAGAGTGACGATCTGCATTCCTTCCTTCTTGGCGCCAGGGTTGCTCCTGAGGACGGTTGGTCCGTCTTTCGGTCCCCATCCTGATCTCATACCCTCTCTTCTCTACCGGTTTGATATCAGACGGGAAGGCACGCAAAGTCAAGGACCCAGGACGTTCCCTTTCTTTTTGGCTCGAATCCAGCATCATAGGGCCCCTCTCCTCAAGCCTTTTCTTCGCATCACCACTTCTAGGACGTTGAGGCAGGAGCCTGAGTACACTCTTAGAACACTTCAAATCAACCAGATTCACCTTGCTGTTCGTCTTGTTCATCTGGTCAACATACACACTGTACTGAGCCACCCTCTCCTTCCTACTCAGAGGTAACTCGAACGTCTGAGTTTTAGGGTTGAAGGTGGTGTAGGTTGGTGTGAAGACAGAGGTGTGTCTGTCGTAGGAGGTAGAGGAGAAGGGAGGAGAATATATGGGGTGGTAGCACTCTGGGAAGGAGAGGGGCCGGAGACAACCTCGTCTGATTCCAGCTAATATCTCCACGAGGGGTCGGGCGTCTGTGGGGATATCTGGATCCGTGTTAGATTCAGTGAGTTTGGTAGGAGTGCTAACACAATCAGATGCGGGGTATATTTAGAGAAATAGAAAGAATGCTGGAATGTAACATTGAGACGGGTGTACGATTATGTTTCAAGATAAGAAGAACGATCTTAGATGGAGTTATGGTTTAGCCGAGAGTTATTTAATAAGAACTTGAAGAAAAGATGCTGCAAATAAATCAAACTACGAATTTCAGAGAAACAGAAATGAAATATCAGAATAAGTTTAACATGTACTATGTGCATTAAAAAGAAATGACACAAATCAAGGAAAAGAAACACAAAACAACAAATTCTAGCTTCACGAAATTAAAACAAAATTATAAAGCTTCACAAAACGAAAGTGAAACCCACAGAAAATAGCTTCACAGAACAAAAACAAAAGTGAAACCCAAAGAGAAACTAGCTTCACAGAACAAAAGAAAAAGTGGAGAAAACAGAAAAGAATGTAAACCTGGGGAATCAATTGCGGAGTCTGGAGAGCATGCTTTATTCCCTGTATCTTTTAAAGTTTGGGTCGCAATAGTCCTCCTTATCCCATCAAACTCGCATGAATATACTGTTCTTTTATTAGGCCCAAGGTCTCTAATTACATGCACGCATGGTCACGTGTGTTTATTTATTGGCAGGTGTACTTGTTTATTGTCACGTGGCCAACAGTAAATAATCACATGAACGATGAATGCAAAAGTCAGGTTTGCAAATCGAAACGCCAACAATTTTCCTTAAAACTTTAACTAAACACTTTTAGAAAGTATCAATGAAAAGGTAAAACGGGCGAAAGGATTAAAAAGGCTGTTTCAGCTGGGAAAGTGCTGTTCCAGTTTTTCACTGCATCATCTTTGACAAGATTGTTTCATGGTTTTGAATCAGCAGAATTTAGACTATCGCATGCGATCAGGGTTCAAACTTCAGACCTTTTTATAGTACATCACCTTTGTTAATAAACAGATACAAGGCATAAGGGCGAAAATCAGGTATGATAGCGGATATTTGGGATAATTGAAGTTACATTTTGATTTTGCGACTGTCTGCAGTCTTCGGACACATAATGAGAAAGAAAATAATAGCTTAATCAGCGTGTTTAAACAAGTATTTAGTTTTTGTAGCTCTGTTAGAAGTGAAATAAACATTGAACAGTGTAGCTTTGCAAGAAGTGAAACATAGTGAAATAAACACAAAAAACACCACGTAACGAACCTGAACTAGTCTCTGTATCCAGCTCATCCCTAGTGGTGGTGGTGTCAGTGGTGTCGTCAGGGAGGTCAAAGTCCGGGGTTATGGCATCTACCAGCGCGTCCGGGGGATAGTCCTCTACTGATCCCTGACAGAGAGAGAGAGGTCACGTGATGAATTTCTGTGTGTCTGTTTGTTTGTATGTCAGACTGAGGGTCGATGGTATGGTGCTTCTTCGGTTGGTAATTAGTATGTATTCCTGTTTACTTCTTTGATTGTCTGTTTGTCTGTTTAATATCTCACCAGTGGTTGTAAAGACTTCTCGTATCTGATGTATCTGTCTTTAACCCCAGTGTAAATAGTGTTGTGTGTTCTGTTCGCACTGGAGTTCATGTCCCTGAAATTGAGGATGAGATGAGTTATGGTGGATAGTAAGATAATTAATTAACTGATCTATGTGAAATTATTAGATTTAATCGCTGTTTTTTTATTATAAACTTACCTGAACTTGTTCATAGAGACGACTGCTGAGTTCGGTCTGCTTTTCTCTTTCGATCTGTGCGTGAAGGGGAATCTCGAAATTAGTATTTCAGTATACAATTTAAATTACTAGAAATAATCCGGGCTAATTAGTATTTTAATTAACTTATTAAAATTATTCAGGCTTCTGTAAACTATATTCTTAAAATCATAACATAGGTGTCAGCTATGTTCGCTTGTTCTTCTCAGAAATAAGAAAACAATTGTGCATGTGACATGCTTGTTTATGTTAATCACAATAAGCTATATTAATTACTTCTTACAGCTTAATATCTGCTAACTGCTAACTAATTATCATGCTAATAACTACCTGTTAGGATAAAGCTGTGAATGTAACATGAAGTTATAGTGGGTCTTGTTCTCCAGAAACTGACTGTACAGATCCCACGACTCTTCAGTGGGGAACACTCTAGAAAAAGCTCCCTTTCTCACGAACTCTTCTTTAGTTTGTCGTACCAGCCTAGGAAATTGTTTTATGAGTCGGTTAATTAACCTATTAATTAATTGGTTAATTATCCCATTGATTGGATATATTATCTCTGCGATGGGCTAAGACTATGCACTTCAAGTAAAAAAGCAAAGCAAATTTAAAAATTCAAAATAATAAATGGATAAATCTATTTTCTCATGGTTTGAACGCAATCAGGGCGAATCTTTGATCAACATATAAAGATATTTTTGAGGAAGTTTCAAGGCGCCAGATTTTGGTCGATGATTTGTACATTATGTTTTTTCTTACAGTGAGTAAGTGTTCAGTGTTTTATTAAATTTGTTGTTAAATTTTATTAAATTTATTGTTATGTTTCTACCTGAGGTCTTCGTTAGATAGCGGAGCTGCGTTTGTGCCGTCCACTGACATGGAGTACGATCCCTGTAGTAGTATCAGTGTAAGAAGTGTAGTTTAATTAATAAGTATAGGTTAACTGTAGTGTTAGTGTTAGAAGTGTAGTTTAATTAATAAGTATAGGTTAACTGTAGTGTTAGTGTTAGAAGTGTAGTTTATTTAATAAGTATAGGTTAAATGTAGTGTCAGTGTTAGAAGTGTAGTTTAATTAATAAGTATAGGTTAAATGTAGTGTCAGTGTTAGAAGTGTAGTTTAATTAATAAGTATAGGTTAAATGTAGTGTCAGTGTTAGAAGTGTAGTTTAATTAAGAAGTATAGGTTAAATGTAGTGTCAGTGTTAGAAGTGTAGTTTAATTAATAAGTATAGGTTAAATGTAGTGTTAGTGTTAGAAGTGTAGTTTAATTAATAAGTATAGGTTAAATGTAGTGTTAGTGTTAGAAGTGTAGTTTATTTAATAAGTAAAGGTTAACTGTAGTGTTAGTGTTAGAAGTGTAGTTTATTTAATAAGTATAGGTTAACTGTAGTGTCAGTGTTAGAAGTGTAGTTTATTTAATAAGTATATGTTAAATGTAGTGTCAGTGTTAGAAGTGTAGTTTAATTAATAAGTATAGGTTAAATGTAGTGTTAGTGTTAGAAGTGTAGTTTAATTAATAAGTATAGGTTAAATGTAGTGTCAGTGTTAGAAGTGTAGTTTAATTAATAAGTATAGGTTAAATGTAGTGTTAGTGTTAGAAGTGTAGTTTAATTAATAAGTATAGGTTAAATGTAGTGTTAGTGTTAGAAGAGTAGTTTATTTAATAAGTAAAGGTTAACTGTAGTGTTAGTGTTAGAAGTGTAGTTTATTTAATAAGTATAGGTTAACTGTAGTGTCAGTGTTAGAAGTGTAGTTTAATTAATAAGTATAGGTTAAATGTAGTGTTAGTGTTAGAAGTGTAGTTTAATTAATAAGTATAGGTTAAATGTAGTGTCAGTGTTAGAAGTGTAGTTTAATTAATAAGTATAGGTTAAATGTAGTGTTAGTGTTAGAAGTGTAGTTTATTTAATAAGTAAAGGTTAACTGTAGTGTTAGTGTTAGAAGTGTAGTTTATTTAATAAGTATAGGTTAACTGTAGTGTCAGTGTTAGAAGTGTAGTTTATTTAATAAGTATAGGTTAAATGTAGTGTCAGTGTTAGAAGTGTAGTTTAATTAATAAGTATAGGTTAAATGTAGTGTTAGTGTTAGAAGTGTAGTTTAATTAATAAGTATAGGTTAAATGTAGTGTTAGTGTTAGAAGTGTAGTTTATTTAATAAGTAAAGGTTAACTGTAGTGTTAGTGTTAGAAGTGTAGTTTATTTAATAAGTATAGGTTAACTGTAGTGTCAGTGTTAGAAGTGTAGTTTATTTAATAAGTATAGGTTAAATGTAGTGTCAGTGTTAGAAGTGTAGTTTAATTAATAAGTATAGGTTAAATGTAGTGTTAGTGTTAGAAGTGTAGTTTAATTAATAAGTATAGGTTAAATGTAGTGTTAGTGTTAGAAGTGTAGTTTAATTAATAAGTATAGGTTAAATGTAGTGTCAGTGTTAGAAGTGTAGTTTAATTAATAAGTATAGGTTAAATGTAGTGTCAGTGTTAGAAGTGTAGTTTAATTAATAAGTATAGGTTAAATGTAGTGTTAGTGTTAGAAGTGTAGTTTAATTAATAAGTATAGGTTAAATGTAGTGTCAGTGTTAGAAGTGTAGTTTAATTAATAAGTATAGGTTAAATGTAGTGTCAGTGTTAGAAGTGTAGTTTAATTAATAAGTATAGGTTAAATGTAGTGTCAGTGTTAGAAGTGTAGTTTAATTAATAAGTATAGGTTAAATGAAGTGTTAGTGTTAGAAGTGTAGTTTAATTAATAAGTATAGGTTAAATGTAGTGTTAGTGTTAGAAGTGTAGTTTATTTAATAAGTAAAGGTTAACTGTAGTGTTAGTGTTAGAAGTGTAGTTTATTTAATAAGTATAGGTTAACTGTAGTGTCAGTGTTAGAAGTGTAGTTTATTTAATAAGTATAGGTTAAATGTAGTGTCAGTGTTAGAAGTGTAGTTTAATTAATAAGTATAGGTTAAATGTAGTGTTAGTGTTAGAAGTGTAGTTTAATTAATAAGTATAGGTTAAATGTAGTGTCAGTGTTAGAAGTGTAGTTTAATTAATAAGTATAGGTTAAATGTAGTGTTAGTGTTAGAAGTGTAGTTTAATTAATAAGTATAGGTTAAATGTAGTGTCAGTGTTAGAAGTGTAGTTTAATTAATAAGTATAGGTTAAATGTAGTGTCAGTGTTAGAAGTGTAGTTTAATTAATAAGTATAGGTTAAATGTAGTGTCAGTGTTAGAAGTTTAGTTTAATTAATAAGTATAGGTTAAATGTAGTGTTAGTGTTAGAAGTGTAGTTTAATTAATAAGTATAGGTTAAATGTAGTGTCAGTGTTAGAAGTGTAGTTTAATTAAGAAGTATAGGTTAAATGTAGTGTCAGTGTTAGAAGTGTAGTTTAATTAATAAGTATAGGTTAAATGTAGTGTTAGTGTTAGAAGTGTAGTTTAATTAATAAGTATAGGTTAAATGTAGTGTTAGTGTTAGAAGTGTAGTTTATTTAATAAGTAAAGGTTAACTGTAGTGTTAGTGTTAGAAGTGTAGTTTATTTAATAAGTATAGGTTAACTGTAGTGTCAGTGTTAGAAGTGTAGTTTATTTAATAAGTATATGTTAAATGTAGTGTCAGTGTTAGAAGTGTAGTTTAATTAATAAGTATAGGTTAAATGTAGTGTTAGTGTTAGAAGTGTAGTTTAATTAATAAGTATAGGTTAAATGTAGTGTCAGTGTTAGAAGTGTAGTTTAATTAATAAGTATAGGTTAAATGTAGTGTTAGTGTTAGAAGTGTAGTTTAATTAATAAGTATAGGTTAAATGTAGTGTTAGTGTTAGAAGTGTAGTTTATTTAATAAGTAAAGGTTAACTGTAGTGTTAGTGTTAGAAGTGTAGTTTATTTAATAAGTATAGGTTAACTGTAGTGTCAGTGTTAGAAGTGTAGTTTATTTAATAAGTATAGGTTAAATGTAGTGTCAGTGTTAGAAGTGTAGTTTAATTAATAAGTATAGGTTAAATGTAGTGTTAGTGTTAGAAGTGTAGTTTAATTAATAAGTATAGGTTAAATGTAGTGTTAGTGTTAGAAGTGTAGTTTATTTAATAAGTAAAGGTTAACTGTAGTGTTAGTGTTAGAAGTGTAGTTTATTTAATAAGTATAGGTTAACTGTAGTGTCAGTGTTAGAAGTGTAGTTTATTTAATAAGTATAGGTTAAATGTAGTGTCAGTGTTAGAAGTGTAGTTTAATTAATAAGTATAGGTTAAATGTAGTGTTAGTGTTAGAAGTGTAGTTTAATTAATAAGTATAGGTTAAATGTAGTGTTAGTGTTAGAAGTGTAGTTTAATTAATAAGTATAGGTTAAATGTAGTGTCAGTGTTAGAAGTGTAGTTTAATTAATAAGTATAGGTTAAATGTAGTGTCAGTGTTAGAAGTGTAGTTTAATTAATAAGTATAGGTTAAATGTAGTGTTAGTGTTAGAAGTGTAGTTTAATTAATAAGTATAGGTTAAATGTAGTGTCAGTGTTAGAAGTGTAGTTTAATTAATAAGTATAGGTTAAATGTAGTGTCAGTGTTAGAAGTGTAGTTTAATTAATAAGTATAGGTTAAATGTAGTGTCAGTGTTAGAAGTGTAGTTTAATTAATAAGTATAGGTTAAATGAAGTGTTAGTGTTAGAAGTGTAGTTTAATTAATAAGTATAGGTTAAATGTAGTGTTAGTGTTAGAAGTGTAGTTTATTTAATAAGTAAAGGTTAACTGTAGTGTTAGTGTTAGAAGTGTAGTTTATTTAATAAGTATAGGTTAACTGTAGTGTCAGTGTTAGAAGTGTAGTTTATTTAATAAGTATAGGTTAAATGTAGTGTCAGTGTTAGAAGTGTAGTTTAATTAATAAGTATAGGTTAAATGTAGTGTTAGTGTTAGAAGTGTAGTTTAATTAATAAGTATAGGTTAAATGTAGTGTCAGTGTTAGAAGTGTAGTTTAATTAATAAGTATAGGTTAAATGTAGTGTTAGTGTTAGAAGTGTAGTTTAATTAATAAGTATAGGTTAAATGTAGTGTCAGTGTTAGAAGTGTAGTTTAATTAATAAGTATAGGTTAAATGTAGTGTCAGTGTTAGAAGTGTAGTTTAATTAATAAGTATAGGTTAAATGTAGTGTCAGTGTTAGAAGTTTAGTTTAATTAATAAGTATAGGTTAAATGTAGTGTTAGTGTTAGAAGTGTAGTTTAATTAATAAGTATAGGTTAAATGTAGTGTCAGTGTTAGAAGTGTAGTTTAATTAATAAGTATAGGTTAAATGTAGTGTTAGTGTTAGAAGTGTAGTTTAATTAATAAGTATAGGTTAAATGTAGTGTTAGTGTTAGAAGTGTAGTTTATTTAATAAGTAAAGGTTAACTGTAGTGTTAGTGTTAGAAGTGTACTTTATTTAATAAGTATAGGTTAACTGTAGTGTTAGTGTTAGAAGTGTAGTTTAAATAATAAGTATAGGTTAAATGTAGTGTTAGTGTTAGAAGTGTAGTTTAATTAATAAGTATAGGTTAAATGTAGTGTTAGTGTTAGAAATGTAGTTTATTTAATAAGTATAGGTTAAATGTAGTGTTAGTGTTAGAAATGTAGTTTATTTAATAAGTTTAGGTTAAATGTAGTGTTAGTGTTAGAAGTGTAGTTTAATTAATAAGTATAGGTTAAATGTAGTGTTAGTGTTAGAAGTGTAGTTTAATTAATAAGTATAGGTTAACTGTAGTGTTAGTGTTAATAAGTATAGGTTAAATGTAGTGTTAGTGTTAGAAGTGTAGTTTAATTAATAAGTATAGGTTAAATGTAGTGTTAGTGTTAGAAATGTAGTTTATTTAATAAGTATAGGTTAAATGTAGTGTTAGTGTTAGAAGTGTAGTTTAATTAATAAGTATAGGTTAAATGTAGTGTCAGTGTTAGAAGTGTAGTTTAATTAATAAGTATAGGTTAAATGTAGTGTCAGTGTTAGAAGTGTAGTTTAATTAATAAGTATAGGTTAAATGTAGTGTTAGTGTTAGAAGTGTAGTTTAATTAATAAGTATAGGTTAAATGTAGTGTTAGTGTTAGAAGTGTAGTTTATTTAATAAGTAAAGGTTAACTGTAGTGTTAGTGTTAGAAGTGTAGTTTATTTAATAAGTATAGGTTAACTGTAGTGTCAGTGTTAGAAGTGTAGTTTATTTAATAAGTATAGGTTAAATGTAGTGTCAGTGTTAGAAGTGTAGTTTAATTAATAAGTATAGGTTAAATGTAGTGTTAGTGTTAGAAGTGTAGTTTAATTAATAAGTATAGGTTAAATGTAGTGTCAGTGTTAGAAGTGTAGTTTAATTAATAAGTATAGGTTAAATGTAGTGTTAGTGTTAGAAGTGTAGTTTAATTAATAAGTATAGGTTAAATGTAGTGTTAGTGTTAGAAGTGTAGTTTATTAATAAGTAAAGGTTAACTGTAGTGTTAGTGTTAGAAGTGTAGTTTATTTAATAAGTATAGGTTAACTGTAGTGTCAGTGTTAGAAGTGTAGTTTAATTAATAAGTATAGGTTAAATGTAGTGTTAGTGTTAGAAGTGTAGTTTAATTAATAAGTATAGGTTAAATGTAGTGTCAGTGTTAGAAGTGTAGTTTAATTAATAAGTATAGGTTAAATGTAGTGTTAGTGTTAGAAGTGTAGTTTAATTAATAAGTATAGGTTAAATGTAGTGTTAGTGTTAGAAGTGTAGTTTATTTAATAAGTAAAGGTTAACTGTAGTGTTAGTGTTAGAAGTGTAGTTTATTTAATAAGTATAGGTTAACTGTAGTGTCAGTGTTAGAAGTGTAGTTTATTTAATAAGTATAGGTTAAATGTAGTGTCAGTGTTAGAAGTGTAGTTTAATTAATAAGTATAGGTTAAATGTAGTGTTAGTGTTAGAAGTGTAGTTTAATTAATAAGTATAGGTTAAATGTAGTGTTAGTGTTAGAAGTGTAGTTTATTTAATAAGTAAAGGTTAACTGTAGTGTTAGTGTTAGAAGTGTAGTTTATTTAATAAGTATAGGTTAACTGTAGTGTCAGTGTTAGAAGTGTAGTTTATTTAATAAGTATAGGTTAAATGTAGTGTCAGTGTTAGAAGTGTAGTTTAATTAATAAGTATAGGTTAAATGTAGTGTTAGTGTTAGAAGTGTAGTTTAATTAATAAGTATAGGTTAAATGTAGTGTCAGTGTTAGAAGTGTAGTTTAATTAATAAGTATAGGTTAAATGTAGTGTTAGTGTTAGAAGTGTAGTTTAATTAATAAGTATAGGTTAAATGTAGTGTCAGTGTTAGAAGTGTAGTTTAATTAATAAGTATAGGTTAAATGTAGTGTCAGTGTTAGAAGTGTAGTTTAATTAATAAGTATAGGTTAAATGTAGTGTCAGTGTTAGAAGTGTAGTTTAATTAATAAGTATAGGTTAAATGTAGTGTTAGTGTTAGAAGTGTAGTTTAATTAATAAGTATAGGTTAAATGTAGTGTTAGTGTTAGAAGTGTAGTTTATTTAATAAGTAAAGGTTAACTGTAGTGTTAGTGTTAGAAGTGTAGTTTATTAATAAGTATAGGTTAACTGTAGTGTCAGTGTTAGAAGTGTAGTTTATTTAATAAGTATAGGTTAAATGTAGTGTCAGTGTTAGAAGTGTAGTTTAATTAATAAGTATAGGTTAAATGTAGTGTTAGTGTTAGAAGTGTAGTTTAATTAATAAGTATAGGTTAAATGTAGTGTCAGTGTTAGAAGTGTAGTTTAATTAATAAGTATAGGTTAAATGTAGTGTTAGTGTTAGAAGTGTAGTTTAATTAATAAGTATAGGTTAAATGTAGTGTCAGTGTTAGAAGTGTAGTTTAATTAATAAGTATAGGTTAAATGTAGTGTCAGTGTTAGAAGTGTAGTTTAATTAATAAGTATAGGTTAAATGTAGTGTCAGTGTTAGAAGTTTAGTTTAATTAATAAGTATAGGTTAAATGTAGTGTTAGTGTTAGAAGTGTAGTTTAATTAATAAGTATAGGTTAAATGTAGTGTCAGTGTTAGAAGTGTAGTTTAATTAATAAGTATAGGTTAAATGTAGTGTTAGTGTTAGAAGTGTAGTTTAATTAATAAGTATAGGTTAAATGTAGTGTTAGTGTTAGAAGTGTAGTTTATTTAATAAGTAAAGGTTAACTGTAGTGTTAGTGTTAGAAGTGTACTTTATTTAATAAGTATAGGTTAACTGTAGTGTTAGTGTTAGAAGTGTAGTTTAATTAATAAGTATAGGTTAAATGTAGTGTTAGTGTTAGAAGTGTAGTTTAATTAATAAGTATAGGTTAAATGTAGTGTTAGTGTTAGAAATGTAGTTTATTTAATAAGTATAGGTTAAATGTAGTGTTAGTGTTAGAAATGTAGTTTATTTAATAAGTATAGGTTAAATGTAGTGTTAGTGTTAGAAATGTAGTTTATTTAATAAGTTTAGGTTAAATGTAGTGTTAGTGTTAGAAGTGTAGTTTAATTAATAAGTATAGGTTAAATGTAGTGTTAGTGTTAGAAGTGTAGTTTAATTAATAAGTATAGGTTAACTGTAGTGTTAGTGTTAGAAGTGTAGTTTAATTAATAAGTATAGGTTAAATGTAGTGTTAGTGTTAGAAGTGTAGTTTAATTAATAAGTATAGGTTAAATGTAGTGTTAGTGTTAGAAATGTAGTTTATTTAATAAGTATATGTTAAATGTAGTGTTAGTGTTAGAAGTGTAGTTTAATTAATAAGTATAGGTTAAATGTAGTGTTAGTGTTAGAAATGTAGTTTATTTAATAAGTATAGGTTAAATGTAGTGTTAGTGTTAGAAGTGTAGTTTAATTAATAAGTATAGGTTAAATGTAGTGTTAGTGTTAGAAGTGTAGTTTAATTAATAAGTATAGGTTAACTGTAGTGTTAGTGTTAGAAGTGTAGTTTAATTAATAAGTATAGGTTAAATGTAGTGTTAGTGTTAGAAGTGTAGTTTAATTAATAAGTATAGGTTAAATGTAGTGTTAGTGTTAGAATGTAGTTTATTTAATAAGTATAGGTTAAATGTAGTGTTAGTGTTAGAAATGTAGTTTATTTAATAAGTATAGGTTAAATGTAGTGTTAGTGTTAGAAATGTAGTTTATTTAATAAGTATAGGTTAAATGTAGTGTTAGTGTTAGAAATGTAGTTTATTTAATAAGTTTAGGTTAAATGTAGTGTTAGTGTTAGAAGTGTAGTTTAATTAATAAGTATAGGTTAAATGTAGTGTTAGTGTTAGAAGTGTAGTTTAATTAATAAGTATAGGTTAACTGTAGTGTTAGTGTTAGAAGTGTAGTTTAATTAATAAGTATAGGTTAAATGTAGTGTTAGTGTTAGAAGTGTAGTTTAATTAATAAGTATAGGTTAAATGTAGTGTTAGTGTTAGAAATGTAGTTTATTTAATAAGTATAGGTTAAATGTAGTGTTAGTGTTAGAAATGTAGTTTATTTAATAAGTATAGGTTAAATGTAGTGTTAGTGTTAGAAATGTAGTTTATTTAATAAGTTTAGGTTAAATGTAGTGTTAGTGTTAGAAGTGTAGTTTAATTAATAAGTATAGGTTAACTGTAGTGTTAGTGTTAGAATTGTAGTTTATTTAATAAGTATAGGTTAACTGTTGCATTATTTACGTTATTAATAGTTTTATTATTAGGTATTTTTAACGTTGTATAGTGTTTATACTTTAATATAAGGTTAGTAAAAGTGGAAATATGTTTTTTTATTGGTAAAGTCAGGGAAAAATTTGAATTGGTTTTGCACCGATTATTAAGCTTGTCTGTGTGTCTGTACGTTTGTACTTTGTATGTTTGGCACGAAACATTGGTACAAGGATCAACGTCACAGAAAAAAGAGTTAAGGTTTGAAAGTATATTGTCTTATTGAGAATACGAAAAACATCATGAAACTATAGCAAACAAAGTACCTCTAAACCAGTCTAGGTCTAGTGGAATTAAAATATATAACGAAATCAGTCGGGAAATCTGCTTTTGTATGTTGTGTTTGTTGACAATCACAAATTCTTGAGGGAAAAGTTACAACGAAGTTGATAGCACGTCACTGTAGCAATGTCTATCACAGTTCAGGAAATAAATCCTTGTGTTTGAACAGAGATAAGTACAGCAGCACGTCAAACCTTAATTTCCGGATTAAACTGTGTGTATGTGTAGGGTTGAACTTGCGGCTTTGCCTTCTGCAGTGGTGAATGAGTGATCACGGGACTTGAGTGAAATTTTAGAAATTTACAAGAAATATGATGTTTTTAGGAGTTGATCTTTTAGGTGAAAGAAAGGTTTGGAAACACGAGAAACGAATCATTATCATAAACTAAAACACACAAAAATAATTTGAAAATATATACATATATTTTCAGTAACCCAAGAAAACATTTTAATCGTTTTAAAATAAACTCACGTTAGACTTCTTCCGTCCAGTGCTCCCGAACTGATCTCGTCTACTATACGGATCTAGAGCTACTACACCAGCTAACGTCAGCATATGGCTCACTGGAGGGTACGACATATTAAATCTAGTGCTACTACACCAGCTAACGTCAGCATATGGCTCACTGGAGGGTACGACATATTAAATCTAGTGCTACTACACCAGCTAACGTCAGCATATGGCTCACTGGAGGGTACGACATATTTAATTAGTTAGTTGAGCAATTGACTGAGAATTTTAGTAGATAATTATGTTGAATTATCAAGTAGGAATGGGAAAACATCCTCGAATGAAAAGAAATCCACACTCCACAGGTACTGATAAATGGTCAAAAAAGTTAAATTGTATTATTAAAAGAATGAAAATGATTCCAACTAAGCGAATTAATCTTGTACTATAACATGGAGATTAATTAATTTACCTAGATTAGACTTGATCTTGAGATCAATAGGAGACTCGCAGGCTAAAGAAGGAGAGAGATTCACCTCGAGTAACCAAGGTTTCTTATCTTCATCTAACGGTACAAGGAGGTAGTTAGTACACGAGAGAAAAGGAAACTTTTGTGTTAACTCTGCTTCCTTTCTCCTTGTACGATCAATGTTATTATCAATATTCGCCCTAATATAATTATCACAGCTTGAAAACATTATATTTCAACTTTTGACCCACCGAAAATAACGTCAAAACCAAAGAGCTCAAAGCAGTTTTCTCGATGAGGAAGAAACATGCGACACGCATTTGCAATTGGAACCTCCGCAGAAAGCAACGTCTTGATGATCAGGTCCTCTACACGCATCATCATAGCTGGGGGAGAAGTTTTAGCTGTTCTGAAACACAAGGAAATATTTTTTATCCCTATTACTTATAAACTGGTTTATAGACCGTCAAGCTATTGAGTCGAGTAATTTGCACGCTAACTAAACCGAAATTAATTTCCAATTGAAACAGTGCGGCTGTGTTTAAACACAGTGATAGATAAAGCACAGCAAAGTTAAAATTATGACAAGAAATTCACCAACTCTAATCAAATCACATTACATTTTCTAGATAATAATACTGGATTAGTAATAAGTAATTAATTACTGAATTAGTTAACTAACTTGCTGTATCGTATCCCTCACTCTTAAGATACCGCAGTAGTGCTGACATGGACCACTTGTTGCCATAATCCTCTATATCCGGGTCACTGCACTTCACATAACCCGCATTTTTCTTGTTAACGCTGAAAAATATTTTAATTTTGATAATAATATTTTACATTATCAACAATCAATAATTTAATTCAAACTCAACAAGGACAAATGAACATGTCGCAGGTCGATATCTAACTAATAATATTGTTTTATAAGATTTAAAACATTTTCCCCTCCGAAGATCAGCGGGTCAGACAACGTACACATTCTAACAAGAGATTAAAATGTGCCCAAAATTTCACCTGAAGGTATACATTTTTTGGACAAATGATGAAAACGATTTTAACAATATCAAACCTGTAGTTTGTGAGATGCATGAACATATTGTTAAGGTTGAGGGGTGACCCGTCATATCGCACAGTGGAGAACCGAGCTAGGCCCTCGTTGAAGATGTATATTCGTAGAGGGTCAAACGAGGTCACCATAACGTATATCCGTAGATCAAACTTGAAGCCTGGGGAGTTAATTATTATAATCAATTAATTACTGATTGATTATTTAAATGATTGATTGTGAGTCCAGCAAAAGTTTTGTTTAGTAGCAAACTTAAATAATCTGTTTATTATATTTTGTAGACTACGGGATATTTTTTGAAGACGGTTGGCAGATAATTTAGCACTCACCAGATATATTTCAATGATATTGAAACAAAGTTAGATTATATTGTAATAGTAATTACTTAATTAATAGTTGGTCGGTGATAAATAATGAAATTATCTTTTCATTTAAAAATGCTATTCCTAAAAAATGTAAGCTTCATCACAAACTCACCATCTACAAGAAGGGGGTTACTGATGTATTTACATACGACCACTTGTTCTTCCAGGTTCACTTGGTTCGGCTGGAAAATTCAAAAATATAAAACAAATTGTAAAGTATGCATGCATTTTTAAAATTTAAAATTTTAATGTTATTATACAAAAATATAGCGAGCTAATTGTTAATTAGAATGGTAAATACTCACATGGCTGATGATACTGATCCCCCGCCCGCGAGAAGAAGCAACAGGTTTAGCAATCCAGAAACCTCGTTCTCTTTGGAAACAGGCTGAAATAGTCGTTTTATAAACATGGCAGGTGTCAGGTTACATGAATCAAAATATAAAGCGTCACGTCCTGTATATTATTTTGAATGATTACTATAGATTTAAAACGTACGAAGGCGCGCGCAAAAATAACGAACGTGATTTTCTGATACTCACTGCTGAAATTGAACTTTAAACCAAAATAGTTTTTAGCGCGCTCCTAAAAAGTGGTGCGCCGCGAACAAATTGCCACCAAAGGACATTTCTGATTAGCGTTTAATCAATAACGCATGCACTGGACTTGCAAAATATTTTTGCAGATTGGAAAATTATCAATATCTGAAATGAGCAATTTGCTTCATGAACACATTCAATCGTTTCACATCCACATCAAATTGTTGACAATTAAAAAGGTCCTTTGCACCACGGCATCAAATTATGATTAAAGATATGTTGTCCAAATTCCAAATGTCATTCATAATAAGCAAATTATTAGTAGCTAAAACTCACAGTAAAATTCGTTCACTTCTGAAGGTAGCACATATGTGACGGGGAGAAAATCGAAATGTTTGGCACCCTGAAAAAGAGTAGAAATAGTTCAGAGATCAAACTACACGGAACTTTCTGACAGACGAACAAAATTAACTGGTTAAACGCACAGAATATGTGTAGAGTTTAACCGTAGGGATCAATCATATTAACTAGGTAGTTAGGGAAGAAACTCATATTTTGACCACTAATGATAGGTAATAAGTGAACCAAATATTTTGAGAGAAATTGAGAGAAATTCAAGATTATCTTACCATGGTCTGCCTCATTCGCATGTAGTTCTTGTACATCCTGTCTTTTCTTGTTATTTCGTACGACCTGAAAGAGATGATTGAGGAAAACTGTGGATTAAAGTTCAGTCCTATGGAGAAGAAGAGATGCTCGGGAATATACTAGGATGTTTCTTATTTTGTTGTTTCCAGACAATTTTAACGAATTTGCTAATATATCTGTTACGTTGTTATTTTTTCGTTTTTGCTAATTCTCCAATTAGAGCAAATTTATAGACTTTCAGGAAAAAACTTGATCAGCAAAAACAAGCAGTGTTCCAATTATAAAACCACGTTTTTCACTTTTAAAAGTTTTAAACATCACTACATTGTTATACTTGTTGTGAACTTGGATGCAAATTTTTCAATTACAGCAAATGTATTCATCCTTTCGAGTAAGAAAAAAACTTGATCTGCAAAAGCAAGCAGCGATTCTCACTGATCCAATTATACAACCACGTTTTTTACTTTTTAAAATTCTTAAAATCGCTACATTGTACTTTTAACCGCAAGTAAATGTGCAGCAATATTAGTAGTCTGCCCTTATAAATTATAACATAAAATATCACAAGCAATCTATACTGCTAGCTACACAAATCTGGAGTTTGTGTCGTGGTTTTAAGGGCTGTGCATTTCTAAAACGTATCAGTGTGCAATTGAATTAATAAGTTAATAAATTAATAAGTTAATAAATTAATGGCGTTTTTAAGGACATGATTAATTTGTTCAGTTACTGAATGTACTACAAGTAAAGATTCTCTGAAAAGAATCATTTTAATATAGATATACAAACTTTTTAAGTTGTTTTTGAGGTTTGTAATCTGTTCACATGTCTACAACATGCAGAGAGCTGCTAACTGAGCTGACCACGTGCTGATTACGTGGTTACCACGTGCTGATTACGTGGTTACCACGTGGTTAGCACGTGACTGCGATCTTTCTTCTTGTCTACCACTTGTTGACATCTGCTTGACATTTCGACAAGAAGGACAAGAATGTGAGCATGAAAACAGGAAAACATTTAGATTTAATTAGTAGATTTAATTAGCCAGATTTAATTAGTAGATTTAATAAGTAGATTTAATTAATAGATTTAATTAGTAGATTTAATTAGTAGCTTTAATTAGTAGATTTAATTAGTAGATTTAATTAGTAGATTTAATTAGTAGATTTAATTAGTAGATTTAATTAGTAGATTTAATTAGTAGATTTAATTAGTAGATTTTATTAGTAGATTTAATTAGTAGATTTAATTAGTAGATTTAATTAGTAGATTTAATTAGTAGATTTAATTAGTAGATTTAATTAGTAGATTTAATTAGTAGATTTAATTAGTAGATTTAATTAGTAGATTTAATTAGTAGATTTAATTAGTAGATTTAATTAGTAGATTTAATTAGTAGATTTAATTAGTAGATTTAATTAGTAGATTTAATTAGTAGATTTAATTAGTAGATTTAATTAGTAGATTTAATTAGTAGATTTAATTAGTAGATTTACTTAGATTTAGCCACTAGTAAGATAATCCAATACTCAGTGAAGACCATCTTCTTTTTTAAAAAGTTTTTAGAATTAAAATCTAGAACCTCCTCTTTTCGTCAGCTAGTTTTTATACATAACACTGTATTCGGTTTTCAGTTTTAAAAATAATTTCGTGGTTGTTGCACCAAGATTGATCAATAACCCCCAGCATCAACAACAGTAACATTCCAAACAGTGACATTCCAACCCTGTAACTGTACGTATCACTGATGATCTAGCTATTTTACTAATACTTTTATTTTATTTATTTAATATTATTTACCATTCATCTATAACATCGATGACCGTGATGTAGATCTTCTTGAATACTACAAAAAAGCACACATTCTCCCCATTGAAGAACGAATAAGTTTCAAGATTTGTCTTCTGGCGTATAAGGTTATGTACAGCCAAGCACCACCATATCTGTCTGATCTTCTTCAGATTGACTCCCAGGCAGCATATTCTAAAACACGGCAACTGTCTGGTGATGGTCAGTAGACTCAGTAAAATCAGGCTAGGTGATAGGAGGTTTAGCAACGCAGCCCCAAAACTCTGGAACTTGCTACCGTATACGGTAAGAAAAGCTAACAACATTGATACTTTTAAACGGGCTTTAAAAACCCATTTTTTCAATCATTTAGAACATACCTAGTCGTATTTATATTCGTGTTCTTTTTTCTTTTTTAGAAAGTTCCTAGAACCTGGCCTTAGTTTGTAGATTATTCCATGGGATTTTTTAACTGCCATGAGTTGTGTGTATAGTTACACTTACACGGAGAGACTAGAATGCCATTTGCCATGCCCTGGCTTGTTTTTATTTTTATAATCTGTATCCTTGGCCGGTACCACATGATTGCAGAGTTGGTAGCACATGCTTCGGTAATCTACCTGTACCTCAGTGAACCGGTGGGTGAACGGCAGCTTGCTTGCAAGCTGTTGGGTACAGGGTGATGTAGTGTGCGAGTTCCCTTAATTGGGTGCGACAATACTCAGGGAAATCGGACTGGGGATCCGTCGGCCCGGTCTACTACCTTCGAGCAACTCATTAAATGATTGTGTGGTCTTGACGGGGATGCAGGCCACAGTTTGTGTTTGTTGTTTTGATCTACAAATAAAGAAGAGTGTATAATGAAGTTTAATTAATTAAATTCTTTTGAATAAATAAAGGTAACCAATATGTGTCGAGATTATTATTTTTCTCTTATAGTTTATTCCATCTGATGTCTGATTGTACCACCATGTCTGCCGTATATAGTTTTTAAACGTTAGTGTTACCAATAAAGCAGCTTAAAGGAAAATGAGAATTTTTTGTTGGAGAATTCTAAATTATTATAGTTTTCTCTTTGTTATGAGAGCCGCTCTGACATTAGTAGCTAGTACCATTCTTGGTTACTAGTTGCTAATATGAGCGGGATATAAATACTCTGTTATTATTATTATAAAGGGTCTCAATAAGAGGTCTCGACTGCCTAGGCGTCAAACCTTGGCAGTCGGTAGTTTCCCTCTGGCCCGGGATCAGCTGACCCTAGGGACCAGAGGGTAAAGGTGTAGAGACTATGTGTATCTACAAATCTTTCGAGGTTGTTTTTACAAGAGACAGGGCTTGCTACGCAAGGGAAGAAAACCGGGAGAAACAATCACAAATTATACAAATAAATATTATAAAACCTAGCAAAAAGAAATTCAAACAATCCTACACTACTACAAATGTTTATTACATACTACAATGTAATACACGATAAATCAATGCTATATAATCAAGAAACAGGGCTTGCAGGGCAAGGGACGGAACACAGGGACTGGCTACAGAGTGTATAAAACAGTGATTCAGCAAGTACCCATTGGGTATTGCTGAATCTGACCCACAAAATACCACAATCAATACAAGAATATACAATATTTAAACAAACATCATGTTTATACAAGAATCAGGGCATGCAGAGCAAGAGAAGAAGAATAAGAGAAAAACTCCAACACATGTATACCCCTTAGTCCATTAAATAACAATAATTACTTGTACACAAAACTGTATTTAATATAAAATACATAACAATTACACAGTCTACCCAATATACGGGTTAAAAATTGTATAAACAAGAGACAGGGCTTGCATAGCAAGGGAAGAGAAATAAGAGGACCAGGTAAAAAGTGTTTATTACAGTATCCAGTGAAGAATAAACTAAATATAGAGTATCTACAGTGTATTATACTCTCAATAATATCATATGTCTAAGACCATCCTGAGAATTCTGGCTGATCCTAGCAGAGCTGTCTTCTGGAGATTAGAGATGCTCAGATTGCAGTGGACTGCGTCGAGGTGTTTACGAAAGTTAATGGTGATAGTTCCTAATGCGCCTATCACCACAGGGACGATTGTGACCTTTCGTAAATTCCAGTTCTTCTTAATTTCTCTTTTTAGGTCTTGATATTTCAGTATCTTTTCTTGTTCTCTATCCAGGATCCGGGTATCTCCTGGGACTGCAACGTCAATGATGGTTGCTGCGTTGGTTACCTTGTCTACCAGGAGGAGATCCGGTCTGCAGTGTTCGATAACGTGGTCCGACTGGACATGGAAGTCCCACAATATCTTGACTTTTTCGTTCTCCAGCACCTTCTCTGCCCGGTGTTCGTACCACCTTTTACTGCGTGGGAAGCCGTATTCCTTGCACAGACTCCAGTGCAATGCGGCAGCTACTTTGTCATGCCGACACTTATATTCTGTCTGTGAAAGTTTTGGGCACCCATTCAGTATGTGGTCTATTGTCTCGTAATGATTTCTGCAGAGTCTGCAGAGGGGAGAAGAGCCAGGTGTTTTGTCAATCCTGTGCTTCACATAATTCGTCCTAAGTGCTTGGTCTTGGGCTGCTATCAACAATCCTTCTGTCTCCTTCTTCAAGTCTTGTTGAGTGAGCCAGTTCCAAGAGGTTAACGGGTCCGCTATACCCATCATCTGCCTTGGGAACTGTCCGTGCATCACTTTAGCAGTCCACTTCTCCTTGCGGATTTCCTCGCGTTGTGTTCGGTCGATATCTTTCTCTATCTCTTCACCCAAGAGTATCTTGTCTTTGACAAAGTAGTCCTTCAGAGCAATCAGTTCTGGGTCTCTACTTCTCACCACATAAGTGGTGAGTGCATTCTCCTCTCTCTTTACGACTTTATTATTATTATTATTATTTAAATATTTTACTAATAAACTCTGACGTTCATGTTGGTTTGAAAATCATGAGTTTGTTGACAATGTCCATTATAATGTCTTGTGTAGTACAGTGTATATTGTGTTGTGTCTCAACCGTGTGCTATTATGTGTTGTGTGACTGTAGGACTTTGTGACTATAGGACTTATAGGACACAATATATAATTCAATGAAACTAAATTGTTAAACAGTTTAACATTTCCAGAACAGTTGGCTCTAGAAACGCGTAAGCTCTGACACGCTATTTGTTTTAGAGCCTTTTCAATAACTTGTGTTAATCTTCTTAGGTCGGGAAGGATGATAAAAAAACTAATTTTTAGCTCTGCATGGAGTCGATGAAATTATAACTTATAAAAAAAGGTTCTTTAATCTGTATTATTTCAGTGAAACCTAAACTGTTATAAAGAGGTAACTCTTTTCTCTCTATCAATAAGAAATATGATCATGCTAATCTGTAAATCTGATGCTCAAAATATTAAAATTTACACACCTAGCACATTCTGCATAATCATGATATTATTTTAAATTATGAACTTTCTTACATCATAAGTAAAATATTTGCTGCTCCGACGAGGATAATCTATACTTCTTAATCTGCCTTAAATCGATATGACTATATGAGTGAGGTGTGAATTTTACCTTTTAAAATGTCATTTTATAGTCCGGTCCTAATCGGAAGTTTCAATCCGGAAACTAAATCATTTGGCAGTTTTAATCCGGAAACTTAATGCTCGCTGCACGTGGCTCATCTGTTTGGTTTATATTCAAACCGTTTTTATTATCCTGACAATATCTCATTTCTGTAGAAATATTCTAAAACACAGTTCACACTAAAGGTCCAATAACAGACAGAACTCTGACTCCTGCTTGCTAAATCCAACACTCTCACAGAAAACACTGTTCTGTGTCACAGGAGTGACGCCACAGTGACACAACATTGACAGCGGGATGGTAATGGAATTTCACAGTGACACAGCAGTGCCACAGAACTCTACTTCACACCTCCAACAAGTGAAGGAACAAGTGACACACTAGACCTCTACTTCACACTCCACTTCCAACAAGTGACAGAACAAGTGACACACTAGACCTCTACTTCACACTTCACTTCCAACAAGTGACAGAACAAGTGACACAGTAGACCTCTACTTCACACTTCACTTCCAACAAGTGACAGAACAAGTGACACACTAGACCTCTACTTCACACTCCACTTCCAACAAGTGACACACTAGACCTCTACTTCACACTCCACTTCCAACAAGTGACACACTAGACCTCTACTTCACACTTCACTTCCAACAAGTGACACACTAGACCTCTACTTCACACTCCACTTCCAACAAGTGACACACTAGACCTCTACTTCACACTCCACTTCCAACAAGTGACAGAACAAGTGACACACTAGACCTCTACTTCACACTCCACTTCCACCAGACCTCCACGCTCCCGCCTGCTTGTTAACAAAACTCTGCACTGCAACAACGTGTGCTTGCAAGGAACCGCTCTGAACTACAATTGTACTGGTTGTTTAACACAGTGAGAGTTGAGGTAAAGTTTGTTCGTTATGTACTAGAAGTGTAGCGCGTTGTGCTTATCAAGTTGCGTTTAAATTAGTTTACACACGAGTCTTGCAACACCCTGTATTTTAAACAATAGTAAAGTTTCTGGAGTTAGCTAAAAGTGAGTATTGTAGTGAGGATGTGTGGAGTTAGCTAAAAGTGAGTATTGTAGTGAGGATGTGTGGAGTATTGTAGTGAGGATGTGTGGAGTATTGTATGTAGTTTCTGGAGTTAGCTAAAAGTGAGTATTGCAGTGAGGATGTGTGGAGGGTATCATTGTTGTCGCTTCTTCTCTTGATGATAAATATTACACATAGCTCGTTAATGAGAGAGCAGTGGAGATTATTATTATATATTATAAATAGAATCTTACACTAAAAATTGATTTTATTATCTATTATAAAAAGATCGTACATGCAAACATACGGTAATCTGTGCCTGTACAAATAGCTCCAGTATTTATTGCACGCAGCTATTATGTATTATTGTGTCTCTCCTCTAATAGATCACTGTTGCATGTGACAACCTGTGTGAGACTGGGAGGTGACACTGGTGACATGTTAAGTTGACACACGTGATATAACTTGATGACTTGATGATGTCACGTGACTTGATGACGTCACGTGACTTGATGATGTCACGTGACTTGATGATGTCACGTGACTTGATGATGTCACGTGACTTGATGATGTCACGTGACTTGATGATGTCACGTGACTTGATGATGTCACGTGACTTGATGATGTCACGTGACTTGATGATGTCACGTGACTTGATGACGTCACGTGACTTGATGATGTCACGTGACTTTATGATGTCACGTGACTTGATGATGTCACGTGACTTGATGATGTCACGTGACTTGATGATGTCACGTGACTTGATGATGTCACGTGACTTGATGATGTCACGTGACTTGATGATGTCACGTGACTTGATGATGTCACGTGACTTGATGATGTCACGTGACTTGATGATGTCACGTGACTTGATGACGTCACGTGACTTGATGATGTCACGTGACTTTATGATGTCACGTGACTTGATGATGGTTCTCTGGAATTGTACTTCTCTGCATGGTAAGGATAGTAACAATACACGCGCAGTTATAGGCTACAAAATATCAACAAGCTAATGTTGAGAAACATTAGTAAGAAACTGTGATTAATTCAGAGTGGATTAATGTGAAAAATTTGTAATTTGAAAAGATAAAATCTTATTAACACGTTAGTTGTTGTATGCCTGCAAAAGCTCCTGGCGACTACTCAAATTAGAGAAGCTTAAAAGTTTTTATTTCTAATAAGCACTTTGATAAATTTAGAAAAATTAATCTCCAAATTTTTAAATAATCCCGTTTCATCAAGACAAACATGTGCTCGTAAATGTCACAAAGTTTAATACATTCACGTTGGAAATATATTTGTATGCCTCCTAAAGTTGCATTAAATTTTAATTTGAGTAAGCATGATTCATTGAATCTATTGACCACACAGCACCTACCTCGCCCATTAATATACGATTAAAAGTTAGTTAAGAAAAGTGCTAAGATTAGATTTTATCTGATGCTTGTCATAGATTTGCTCGATTAAGCTGGGTAACTATTGAAGAGATGAACAGATTAAGGATTTAGGATATTGATTCAGTCATAAAAATAAATTAGTATATACAACTCTCAGTTGACGTATTTTTACATTTAATTTTATATTTAATCATTTTGTCCTTTTGTCCCTGTATAATATGATTATATAATGACCCAAGTTTTCGATCAGAGGAAGGGATTAAATATCAAAAATAAACAACCAACATCATCATTCGCAAGTTCAATATGAATCGGTTAAAAGTTCATTTCCATTCCAAGTTGGTTGTGAAAAGTACTAAGATTAGAAATTCTGGCTGATGCTTGTCATAGATTTATAACTAAACTGATCTGTAGGTAACCAACTAAGAGTGCCGCCTAAGGATGATGACTAGTACATCATGATAACAATACAGTAGATCCCTCTCAGAAAGCTGTGTTTTATGTTATTGTAACTTTGTTTGAAAAGCATTTATGCACGAGAAGATTTCAGTAGATATAATTTCGTAATTATGTATAGGTCTGGATTGTGGACGGTAAGGGAGGTGAACCAAATGTTTTTCTGATAAGTATCAAAGCAAATAAGGTTCACATCCCCACAAATGTCCAGGTCTATTATTTTAAAAGTTATTTAAACTCAAAGCTATAAGTTCACAAAATATTATCTGACCTGGGAAAGTGGTTGACTTTTTGTAGTTCAGTGAGTCCTCGTAGAGTGTAGGGTTTAACGTGACACCCACACCACATTAGGTTGAAGTCGTTACTGTTCTGGTGAATCTGGAGGGGATTTAGCAATTGGAAATTAGCAATTAGCAATTAGCAATTAGCAATTAGCAATTAGCAATTAATAAGGACTGATATTATGTCCTTAATAAGGACTGATATGTCCTAAATATAAAGTATTTGTAGTATTCCACGATACCCCATCTACTTTAACTCACCAGAGGATATTACAAAAGTGTTAAAGTAATAAATCACCTAGCTACGATAAAACAATTATCAGCAGCCAATGATATCTGAAGTTTTGAAGCACTGATTCACACATTCCCGTAATTCACGTGACGTCATCACACTGTCACGTGACATCACGTGACATCACCAGTCACCACACTCTACAGACAGTTATCAGCTGCCAATAACATATGAAGTTTTAAGCAACAACTCACACACACGCACAACCCCCTGATAATTGAGGTGATCATTTGAAATGTGAAGCAGAGAGAGAGAGAGAGAGAGAGAGAGAGAGAGAGAGAGAGTGAGAGAGAGAGAGAGAGAGAGAGAGAGAGAGATAAGTTGGAGCGGAATAGTACGTTCAATGCAACTATAATACTGCATTACTGTAGCTGATCTTGTATTAAGCTAATTCTGGTCAATCGCTAGTATGGGTGGAGTATGATGAACTCGATTATATGTACAGTCTCTTTGTACAACTACAAAGGGAATATACCAGAGGTCCACAAAGAGTGACGAGAATGAGCAGCACGTTACGACAGGTTTGGGAGTTCTCAATTGAGAGTTTGCTCACACGCCCCTCCTCACCTGAGAGAGAGAGAGAGAGAGAGAGAGAGAGAGAGAGAGAGAGAGAGAGAGAGAGAGAGAGAGAGAGAGAGAGAGAGAGAGAGAGAGAGAGAGAGAGAGAGAGAGAGAGAGAGAGAGAGAGAGAGAGAGAGAGAGAGAGAGAGAGAGAGAGTGAGAGAGAGAGAGAGAGAGAGAGAGAGAGAGAGAGAGAGAGAGAGAGAGAGAGAGAGAGAGAGAGAGAGAGAGAGAGAGAGAGAGAGAGAGAGAGAGAGAGAGAGAGAGAGAGAGAGAGAGAGAGAGAGAGAGAGAGAGAGAGAGAGAGAGAGAGAGTTATTATATGTGTGGTATTATACAGAGGTGTTCAATAGAATGACCAATAGAATGACTACATGAGTTGGAGGAGTTTGTAGTTGCTGATTGAGTTTATGAGTAATTGTTGTGTTAATTGTATCTGTGAAGGACAACGTAAAATTACCACAGATTTCTTCTAGTTTAGTTGGAGAGAGAGAGAGAGAGAGAAAGAGAGAGAGAGAAAAAGAGAGTTCTAGTGGTTCCAGAATGAGGTGCAGTGATTGGATAAGTACAGCTCTAACTAAAAATACCAGTGACCAGGGTTATGTGTGGGCTTACTTTGCACTCGAAGGTACTAGAACTAAAATGTGTGTGTGTTTTACAGAAGTGCACTAAACCAAATATTCGGGTAACAATAAATTACTAATTATATAATCAGACTACAGGAATAATAAAACTGTTTTTACTGAATTCTGGTTTAAATAACTAATTAACAACTAATTAACAACTAATTAATAAGTAATCAACAACTAATTAACAACTAATTAACAACTAATTAACAACTAATTAACAACTAATTAACAACTAATTAACAACTAATTAACAACTAATTAACAACTAATTAACATTTAATTAACAACCAATTAACAACTAATTAACAACTAATTAATAAGTAATTAACAACTAATTAATAAGTAATTAACAACTAACTAACAACATTCCTGAACTCTCTAACTAACCTCTCTGAAACCATGCCCCTCCAATAGAGTCCTGAGAAGTCTACACTCTGTCTTTACAAACTTATACGTCAGCCCGACCCCACTTGAAACTGCGCAATTAGTAATATGAGTAAAAGTTATAGAAACAAAATTACCAACATCATACTAATAGAGTGATACCTACCAAGAACTGTTAACTCACCCATCTTGTTGCAGGAGCACTCAGTGTTCTTATAAAGACAAAACAACAGTGATACCTACCAAGAACTGCTAACTCCTCCATCTTGTTGCAGGAGCACTCAGTGTTCTTATAAAGACAAAACAACAGTGATACCTACCAAGAACTGTTAACTCACCCATCTTGTTGCAGGAGCACTCAGTGTTCTTATAAAGACAAAACAACAGTGATACCTACCAAGAACTGCTAACTCCTCCATCTTGTTGCAGGAGCACTCAGTGTTCTTATAAAGACAAAACAACAGTGATACCTACCAAGAACTGTTAACTCCTCCATCTTGTTGCAGGAGCACTCAGTGTTCTTATAAAGACAAAACAACAGGTATACCTACCAAGAACTGTTAACTCCTCCATCTTGTTGCAGGAGCACTCAGTGTTCCTATAAAGACAAAACAACAGGTATACCTACCAAGAACTGTTACCTCCTCCATCTTGTTGCAGGAGCACTCAGTGTTCTTATAAAGACAAAACAACAGTGATACCTACCAAGAACTGTTACCTCCTCCATCTTGTTGCAGGAGCACTCAGTGTTCTTATAAAGACAAAACAACAGGTATACCTACCAAGAACTGTTAACTCCTCCATCTTGTTGCAGGAGCACTCAGTGTTCTTATAAAGACAAAACAACAGTGATACCTACCAAGAACTGTTACCTCCTCCATCTTGTTGCAGGAGCACTCAGTGTTCTTATAAAGACAAAACAACAGGTATACCTACCAAGAACTGTTAACTCACCCATCTTGTTGCAGGAGCACTCAGTGTTCTTATAAAGACAAAACAACAGTGATACCTACCAAGAACTGTTAACTCCTCCATCTTGTTGCAGGAGCACTCAGTGTTCTTATAAAGACTAACATCAGGTATACCTACCAAGAACTGTTAACTCCTCCATCTTGTTGCAGGAGCACTCAGTGTTCTTATAAAGACAAAACAACAGTGATACCTACCAAGAACTGCTAACTCAACCATCTTGTTGCAGGAGCACTCAGTGTTCTTATAAAGACAAAACAACAGGTATACCTACCAAGAACTGTTAACTCACCCATATTGTTGCAGGAGCACTCAGTGTTCTTATAAAGACAAAACAACAGGTATACCTACCAAGAACTGTTAACTCACCCATATTGTTGCAGGAGCACTCAGTGTTCTTATAAAGACTAACATCAGGTATACCTACCAAGAACTGTTACCTCCTCCATCTTGTTGCAGGAGCACTCAGTGTTCTTATAAAGACAAAACAACAGGGATACCTACCAAGAACTGTTACCTCCTCCATCTTGTTGCAGGAGCACTCAGTGTTCTTATAAAGACAAAACAACAGTGATACCTACCAAGAACTGTTAACTCACCCATCTTGTTGCAGGAGCACTCAGTGTTCTTATAAAGACTAACATCAGGTATACCTACCAAGAACTGTTACCTCCTCCATCTTGTTGCAGGAGCACTCAGTGTTCTTATAAAGACAAAACAAAAGTGATACCTACCAAGAACTGCTAACTCACCCATCTTGTTGCAGGAGCACTCAGTGTTCTTATAAAGACAAAACAACAGTGATACCTACCAAGAACTGTTACCTCCTCCATCTTGTTGCAGGAGCACTCAGTGTTCTTATAAAGACAAAACAACAGTGATACCTACCAAGAACTGTTAACTCACCCATCTTGTTGCAGGAGCACTCAGTGTTCTTATAAAGACAAAACAACAGTGATACCTACCAAGAACTGTTAACTCACCCATCTTGTTGCAGGAGCACTCAGTGTTCTTATAAAGACAAAACAACAGTGATACCTACCAAGAACTGTTAACTCACCCATCTTGTTGCAGGAGCACTCAGTGTTCTTATAAAGACAAAACATCAGGTATACCTACCAAGAACTGTTAACTCCTCCATCTTGTTGCAGGAGCACTCAGTGTTCTTATAAAGACAAAACAAAAGTGATACCTACCAAGAACTGCTAACTCACCCATCTTGTTGCAGGAGCACTCAGTGTTCTTATAAAGACAAAACAACAGTGATACCTACCAAGAACTGCTAACTCACCCATCTTGTTGCAGGAGCACTCAGTGTTCTTATAAAGACAAAACAACAGTGATACCTACCAAGAACTGTTACCTCCTCCATCTTGTTGCAGGAGCACTCAGTGTTCTTATAAAGACAAAACAACAGGTATACCTACCAAGAACTGTTACCTCCCCCATCTTGTTGCAGGAGCACTCAGTGTTCTTATAAAGACAAAACAACAGTGATACCTACCAAGAACTGCTAACTCACCCATCTTGTTGCAGGAGCACTCAGTGTTCTTATAAAGACAAAACAACAGGTATACCTACCAAGAACTGTTACCTCCTCCATCTTGTTGCAGGAGCACTCAGTGTTCTTATAAAGACAAAACAACAGTGATACCTACCAAGAACTGTTACCTCCTCCATCTTGTTGCAGGAGCACTCAGTGTTCTTATAAAGACTAACATCAGGTATACCTACCAAGAACTGTTACCTCCTCCATCTTGTTGCAGGAGCACTCAGTGTTCTTATAAAGACAAAACAACAGTGATACCTACCAAGAACTGTTACCTCCTCCATCTTGTTGCAGGAGCACTCAGTGTTCTTATAAAGACAAAACAACAGTGATACCTACCAAGAACTGTTACCTCCTCCATCTTGTTGCAGGAGCACTCAGTGTTCTTATAAAGACAAAACAACAGTGATACCTACCAAGAACTGTTACCTCCTCCATCTTGTTGCAGGAGCACTCAGTGTTCTTATAAAGACAAAACAACAGTGATACCTACCAAGAACTGCTAACTCACCCATCTTGTTGCAGGAGCACTCAGTGTTCTTATAAAGACAAAACAACAGGTATACCTACCAAGAACTGTTACCTCCCCCATCTTGTTGCAGGAGCACTCAGTGTTCTTATAAAGACAAAACAACAGGTATACCTACCAAGAACTGCTAACTCACCCATCTCGTTGCAGGAGCACTCAGTGTTCTTATAAAGACAAAACATCAGGTATACCTACCAAGAACTGCTAACTCACCCATCTTGTTGCAGGAGCACTCAGTGTTCTTATAAAGACAAAACAACAGTGATACCTACCAAGAACTGCTAACTCACCCATCTTGTTGCAGGAGCACTCAATGTTCTTATAAAGACAAAACAACAGTGATACCTACCAAGAACTGCTAACTCACCCATCTTGTTGCAGGAGCACTCAGTGTTCTTATAAAGACAAAACAACAGTGATACCTACCAAGAACTGCTAACTCCTCCATCTTGTTGCAGGAGCACTCAGTGTTCTTATAAAGACAAAACAACAGGTATACCTACCAAGAACTGTTACCTCCCCCATCTTGTTGCAGGAGCACTCAATGTTCTTATAAAGACAAAACAACAGGTATACCTACCAAGAACTGCTAACTCACCCATCTTGTTGCAGGAGCACTCAGTGTTCTTATAAAGACAAAACAACAGTGATACCTACCAAGAACTGCTAACTCCTCCATCTTGTTGCAGGAGCACTCAGTGTTCTTATAAAGACAAAACAACAGGTATACCTACCAAGAACTGTTACCTCCCCCATCTTGTTGCAGGAGCACTCAGTGTTCTTATAAAGACAAAACAACAGTGATACCTACCAAGAACTGTTACCTCCCCCATCTTGTTGCAGGAGCACTCAGTGTTCTTATAAAGACTAACATCAGGTATACCTACCAAGAACTGTTAACTCCTCCATCTTGTTGCAGGAGCACTCAGTGTTCTTATAAAGACAAAACATCAGGTATACCTACCAAGAACTGTTACCTCCTCCATCTTGTTGCAGGAGCACTCAGTGTTCTTATAAAGACAAAACAACAGTGATACCTACCAAGAACTGTTACCTCCTCCATCTTGTTGCAGGAGCACTCAGTGTTCTTATAAAGACAAAACAACAGGTATACCTACCAAGAACTGTTAACTCACCCATCTTGTTGCAGGAGCACTCAGTGTTCTTATAAAGACAAAACATCAGGTATACCTACCAAGAACTGTTAACTCCTCCATCTTGTTGCAGGAGCACTCAGTGTTCTTATAAAGACAAAACAACAGGTATACCTACCAAGAACTGTTACCTCCTCCATCTTGTTGCAGGAGCACTCAGTGTTCTTATAAAGACAAAACAACAGGTATACCTACCAAGAACTGTTAACTCACCCATCTTGTTGCAGGAGCACTCAGTGTTCTTATAAAGACAAAACAACAGGTATACCTACCAAGAACTGTTAACTCCTCCATCTTGTTGCAGGAGCACTCAGTGTTCTTATAAAGACAAAACATCAGGTATACCTACCAAGAACTGTTACCTCCTCCATCTTGTTGCAGGAGCACTCAGTGTTCTTATAAAGACAAAACAACAGTGATACCTACCAAGAACTGCTAACTCACCCATCTTGTTGCAGGAGCACTCAGTGTTCTTATAAAAACAAAACAACAGTGATACCTACCAAGAACTGCTAACTCACCCATCTTGTTGCAGGAGCACTCAGTGTTCTTATAAAGACAAAACAAAAGTGATACCTACCAAGAACTGCTAACTCACCCATCTTGTTGCAGGAGCACTCAGTGTTCTTATAAAGACAAAACAACAGTGATACCTACCAAGAACTGTTAACTCACCCATCTTGTTGCAGGAGCACTCAGTGTTCTTATAAAGACAAAACAACAGGTATACCTACCAAGAACTGTTACCTCCTCCATCTTGTTGCAGGAGCACTCAGTGTTCTTATAAAGACAAAACATCAGGTATACCTACCAAGAACTGTTACCTCCTCCATCTTGTTGCAGGAGCACTCAGTGTTCTTATAAAGACTAACATCAGGTATACCTACCAAG